TACAGGACTGGGTAGTCCTCACAGAGAGTAGAGGACTGGGTGGTACTAACAGAGACTAGAGAACTGGGTGGTCCTCACAGAGACTAGAGGACTGGGTGGTCCTCACAGACCCTAGAGGACTGGATGGTCCTCACAGAGACTAGAGGACTGGGTTGGTGTTAGAGAGTGAACAGAGGACTCACTGAGACAGGAGTTAATAGAGATCTGTAACAGCTGCTCACAGGTCTGTAAAACATCTGCAGTATCTTCAGAACGCTGCAGCTCGAGTCCTGACTAGAACCAGGATGTACCATCACGTTAGTCCTGACTAGAACCAGGAAGTACCATCACATTAGTCCTGACTAGAACCAGGAAGTACCATCACATTAGTCCTGACTAGAACCAGGAAGTACCATCACATTAGTCCTGACGAGAACCAGGACGTACCATCACATTAGTCCTGACTAGAACCAGGACGTACCACCACATTAACAAACTGGGTTCTCTCCCATCTCAAGTCTTTCAACTCCCCCCTCCTGGACCCCCTGCAGTTCGCCTACAGAGCCAACAGATCTGTAGACGACGCCATTAACCTGGCCCTCCACCACATCCTACAGCACCTGGACTCCCCGGGGACCTACGCCAGGGTCCTGTTCGTGGACTTCAGCTCCGCCTTCAACACAATCCTGCCATCCCTGCTCCAGGACAAGCTCTCTCAGCTCAACGTGCCCGATTCCACCTGCAGGTGGATCACTGACTTCCTGACGGACAGGAAGCAGTGAGTGCGTCTGGGGAAGAATGTCTCGGACTCTGGGATTATAAATACAGGAGCCCCACAGGGCTGTGTTCTTTCTCCCCTGCTCTTCTCCCTGAACAACAACCACTGCACCTCCAGCCACGACTCCGTGAAGCTGATCAAGTTCGCGGACGACACCACCCTCATTGGACTCATCTCCAACAACGATGAGTCCGCCTACAGGAGGGAGGTGGACCGGCTGGTGTCCTGGTGCAGTGGCAACAACCTGGAGCTGAACGCCCAGAAGACAGTGGAGATGATTGTGGACTTCAGGAAGAGCACTGTCCCCCCGCCCCCACCCTCCGTGATGGACTCCCCCATCACCTCTGTGGAGTCCTTCCGTTTCCTGGGCACCATCATCACCCAGGACCTCAAGTGGGAGCCGACCATCAGCTCCCTCATCAAGAAGGCCCAGCAGAGGATGTACTTCCTGCGGCAGCTCAGGAAAGCCAAGCTGCCTGCACAGATGTTGGTGCAGTTCTACACGGCCATCATCGAGTCCATCCTCACCTCCTCCGTCACCGTGTGGTTCGCTGGAGCCACAGTTAGGGACAAACAGAGACTACAGAGCATTGTGCGCTCTGCAGAGGAAGTGATCGGCCGCAGCCTTCCATCGCTGCAGGACCTGTACGTCGCCCGAGCTCGAGGCCGGGCTGGTCGTATCACAGCAGAACCCTTTCACCCTGCACATGGACTATTCCAACCACTCCCCTCAGGCAGGAGGCTGCGGTCCATCAGGACTAGAACCTCCCGCCACAAGAAGTTTCTTTCCCTCTGCTGTTGGACTCTTGAACACTTCTTAACCTGTCCCCCCGCCCTTTATAAAGTCACTTTACTGCCCATCATACGTCACTTTACTTCACTGTACTGCTGTCACCTTACATTGTGTGCACCATGTGCACTTGTATATTGTAAATAGTAATTGTAACTCTATTTTAAATTTAAATGTATTCCTTAGAAGTGTTTTTTATTCTTTATTTTTTATTCTTTATTTTTATTATCCCTTTCTGACTGTTGCACTGAGCCAAAGCAATTTCCAAGTCTGTGACTTCCTGTTTCTTACATGGCAATAAAAATGATTCTGATTCTGATTAGTCCTGACAAGAACCAGGACGTACCATCACATTAGTCCTGACTAGAACCAGGAAGTACTATCACGTTAGTTTTTTATTTTTTATTTTTATTTTTTATTCAAAGTGTGCAAGAAACAAGTACATTTTGTACATTTCTCACCAACGTAGACACATTGATGCACTAATATTGATCAAATTAAATAAAATAAAATACATACATACATTACATACAGGGGTCTGCTAATCGACTAATACTTTAAAAAAATTTATCAATGTGATTGTTCTAATTAATTTCTTATTTTTTTGTTTTAAATTTTCAATAGAGGCCAGATAGGTTTTCAGATCAGAAGCTTTAAAAACAGAAAAGGAAGGTATTTTTTCACAGAATTTAGTTTTATGGATGTAGTACTTTCCTAAGATCAGTATTAGATTTATAATGTAAATTTCATCAGAGGAGAATTTTTTATCATTAAATATTAGTAAAATTTGAAATTTGGAAATATTAACATTTTTATGGAATATTCCGGCCAAATAGTGTTGCACATTGGACCAAAATCTAACAATAATAGGACATTCAACAAATAAGTGTTCAATACTTTCACCATCACATTGACAAAAGGAACATTGGTTACTTACATTAGGTAAAAAACGACAAATATTGTCTTTTACAGGGTAATATCTGTGTACAATTTTAAATAAACATTCCTTGACTTTATTTGTGATTATATACTTGTAGGGCAACAAAAAAACCTGATTCCAATATTTTCGGTTAAATGAACCCCACCTATGTTTACATACTGGATTGGCCAATTGTATAAGACTATCCCTAATATATTTGTTTGTGCACTTTTTATCTTGTAAGCTTACACCTAAAATGGAAACATCCGTGAAATGTGAGTCAATAAAATGAATACTTTGCGCTAATGTTCTTATACTTTGAGGTATCGACTTTTACTCATAAAAATCTCCATTATCATCTAAAAGTTGTTTCACAGTATTTATATTTTTGTCAAACCAGTTCTCTAAATATAAAGATTTCCTTTGATGCAGGATGTAAGCATTGTTCCATAAAATACAATTGTGAGGAGAATAGTTGTGTTTGTAAAGTAAAGACCAGTACAGTAAAACCTGTTGATGAAACTTGGCTAATTTCACAGGAAGTTTTCCAACAGCAAAGGGACAATGCAGAAGAAAATTCAGGCCTCCCATTTTACCAAAAAAATAATTTGGGAAGATATTCCATCAACAATTTGGATTTTTTAAAAATCGTTTTATCCAATTAATTTTCAAAATCTGATTTAAAGCAGTAAAAGTTAAGACGTCCAATCCACCTTCAGCTAAAGAATTGGTGAGAACTGTTTGTTTTATTTTATGAGCTTTGTTTT